TATTAGAATATCATTACTAATTAAGGCACTCCAAATAAAGAACAGCTTTTTACATCAGAGCAAAAAGAATCAACACAAACAGCTACCAAGCTCTAGTATCCTTAGTCGTATACACGTGTCACATTTCCTTCCTTTTTCTGTAACAYAGCTTAGAATTAGCCCYCGAAAGGAAAAACACAGCAAAGGTTCAGATGSTGTCCATGACCACAAATGTAGGAGACTTCTATACAACAAGATWAGAATCCTTTCTAGACATCAAGCAAGGCATACAYTAGTAGTCTGAAGTCATAAGGACAAATAGYTTCTTCAGTGCAGTATTTTAATGCCCCTTCTTACTTGGCAAGTTCCTGGAGAGTTGTTAAAAGTTCATCAGTAGTTTTCTGGTCTTTGGCTCCAAGGGAAGACATCAAGATGTGTACGTCATTAAACAGGAGGACATGATCTTTAGCGTGCTTCTTTGTAATCTTGAGAACATTGTCCCAYCTGTTGCCAAGCTTTACACCTATAAAGAAAAAATGTTTTTGCAGTAAAAATGCCAGGTACAATATAGCTTCACTCTCTCCCAGGCACTGGTAATCAAACCAGTCTATAGTATATGGCAAAAATAATAGATTAACGGSCAGCTACAGATTGCCATATTTGGGCCAATAGTTTGTTGACTTGTCAGTTAATTCTTCACCAATACTCTAGATTACTTTACATGAGACCCTGGCTTTGCTATGAGATCGCTGCTCTCTTCTCAAGCAACAGGATAATGAGCCTCSCATAGCAATCAAATTCAACAGACTGGTAAAATGGACAAAAACTCATTACTAGTATTTTAGCAGAATATATTGAAAAATAATTTCATTCTCCCTTCAGCTGCCCTCCCAAAAGACTTTAATGTGTAAATACAAAAAGTTAGTGAGGAAGCTGCTGGCCCTGTGCACTCTATATTAAGTTACTCAATATATAGCTACTATTTAYTTCAATCAGCATCCAGCTATGAAATAMGTGTTCTTGCTGATTTGRAATTTGCTACAAGGGAAGCCCTACAGCTTTTAGGGTCCTATCAATTTGATTCTTCTGCTCACAACTYCAGTAACAACTGAAGTGAAATCTGCTTCTAATTAGAAGCCTCTAACCTATGGTAGCTTGTGCTGAAGGAAATGCTGATGCAATATGATACTGGCAAAGGAGAGAAAAAAAAAACCAAAACAAACAAACTAATCTCGTGGGAGGAAGAAAACTTAGGCACAYTATTATAAACTCCAAATGAGGGCTTTTCTCAGAAGGAGAATTTTAAGAGTCTCTCTGTTATACTGACCAAGCTTCTTGGTAAATACCCTTATATCCTTCCTCAACCTGCAAGGAAGAAATTGTTTCCCTTGGGTGGTACCTTACCTTCCAAGTGAAGTCGGTACAGCATAGAACTGTTATCTACAATATCCAGCATGCTGCCATTTGACAAACACCGGGGAGCAATCTGCAATCATAAGCWTTTGTAAGCCACCCTGCCAATGTGCTAGTGGGAACATGATCAGATAATCATCTTCTTATTCACCAAGAAATATCCTCTTTGCAATCCTTAATTGCACCATTCCCAAATACCACAGTTTGCAAAGACAACATATCTGRRKGCTTTTTGTGTTGTKCTGCCCCTCCTGARAYTAAATTCAGTAAGTWTCAGAGTCASCAGCTTATTCTSTTCTTTGCAAGAGAGAGTCATATYGATTACCTCATTTTGCCAGGGTTAAGAGCTGGAGTCTGCACAGCAGGTCTCTCAATACTTACACTACTTTTACRGTCTTGTCAAAGATATRCTATGCCATCTCATATGTACCTTTTGTGCAGGTAATATGACTTCATAGAAAATACATTTTACATCATTTCTCCATTTTTTTTCCAAGACCAACATAGCCTGAATAGCAGACATCAGGCATGCTAGAAAACTACCAGCACTGTCTCCGTAGCTCCTTAAAGCACAAGCATAAGAATCATGTATCAACTATACAATGCTGTGGATTTTTGCGCATTTTACCAGTTGAGAATGTTTCCCCGTAATGGTGTAACATTTATATATGTTATGGAATTTATAAATGGAAGATGCCTGGTCCATTCCAGCAATCTTCAATCTCATAGACAGAGAAGAAAGCAGATATCACGCTATTTAGCGTATTTGTTCCCAGCAAAGAAAAAAGCCCTCCACTCACATGGTTGTCATAAATGGTCAGAGCAGCCTCATATTCACCCTACGAAAGCAAAAAGGAAAAAAAAAGACTGTGAGGCTAATACTATCAATACACACAGTACATTACTAATTCTACCCATACTATTAATACTAACATTACCGATATACACAATATGTAACTAATGTATACACTGAACAAAAGTGATTGGCAGAGTCAAAGAYATATGTACAGGCTGTACRTATGTATGTATGGACATCATAGTATTCTTTCATAGCTGCCKCAGSACTTATTCAAGTAAGCCASAGAAATCTAGACATATTAAGAGGTAGAACTAAGMTAAACCAGGKGTTTACCTGGCAAAATAGTCTGTAAGATTAGGTTTTAATTTTATGATGGATTACAATATTGCTTTAAGTTACACATAAGGGAGAAAGACAAGATACTACCTCTGGTTCTAATGGCCCTTTCTGTGACCTTTGCAARAACTAGTGCATCCYACAGYGTGTGGAATGACAGAGGAAGAAAAATAATTTTAAGAGGCTKCARGAAACCTGTATAGACAYAAGAGGGYAAAATAAACCAGCTATTAGACTAATCCTTGCAATTGTGCTCCTCCTCTGTTCCCATTACAGAACACCAGGGTAACCAGAACTTCTCAGAAKAACAACAGCCTATCCTACAAAAATGGCATTGTGTTATTTTATCAAAATGTGTCTTCAAATAGCTAGAAGTCTCCCCCCACACCCGCTACAACTGTCTTTTAAATAGTGAATTATCTATCTAGACACCAAAAAACAAATATATAAAGACATCTCATACCTTTTCAATAAAATGTAAAGCCCAGTGCCAGTAATTATGACAAGCAAGCATATCACTGTTCTGGGAGAAAAAAAAAAAAAAATTTGTAAGATAATTCCTCTTTTAAATCTATCCAGTCAACTTTTTTGCCAGTCAGTAAAAACAAAYACTTCATGAGAGAGAAGGGACAAAATTTTATACCAGGTGTCCAGGATAACTTCTCCTGTGACACGTTAGCTTTTTGTGACTACTTAAAGGGATAGCTCAAAAACATTCCTTTCCCCACATCATTTTCCAGAGAGGAATTGCATTTGAATACATCAGATAACTTCATCCTTTTGTGGCATTTCTTTTTTGGAGGAGAGAGGGAGAAGAGACATGCCTGTAAGGACAGTAAGGCCAGTCTCCTCTGAAATAGACACGTGTAGTCTCTAAAATATAGATGTGCAGTCTAAAGTTGCCCAGGGAGCTGATGGAGAAAGATACCACTTGTATGAGAGCCATGCAGCCCAGCTATCCACATACTCTTATTAAGGAAGGAGGAATCACTTCTTCAGGACAAGTCTCACAGCTCAGTCCAGAAGCTACATTAGACACCAAACACCTCAGCAGTTCACCAGGCAACATGAAAATAACACAAATATCCTGTGGACTGGTCTAACTTTGCACTGTTCTCTCCAACAGGCTGAACASTCTTCCCTAGCCTAACTCAAGAAAATCTCATTTTGTGAATGCACAAAGACAAGACAGACAGGAATGTATTTCCATAACCCACTGGTGAAAATTAAAATACGAGAGAGTTTCTTCCCTCTTCTCCCATTCTTTCCTAGCACTGTAGTTAAAAATTAATCTTCTCACAAGTGGAAAGAGCAGGCTGGTTTTATTGGTGACTACTCTAACACCCACTTTCGATAAGCACAAAGGTTCCCAGTGATTCTCAGAATTTCACAGCATTCAGAAAATATTAAACAAGTAAGGATTACCACTCTGCTTAAGTCATAAAAGCAAATCTGAGCAACTGCAGTAGTCAAGTGCTTGGTGCACACCTGATGATAYCCAACTTACCACCAAATGCTAGTCCCAATGTCATACAAACAAGAATACAGGGTTCCCTCCTCATGAATAAAACCAGGCCATTTTTGCTGCTGATTTTGAGTCCTGAAGGAGATGAACTAGTCAGGGGGAAGGGAGATAGTGGGTGTTTAAAATAAATAAAATAAAGCAGGCTACCTTATTTATGTGAAGAGCAGTGAGGGCATGGACAAGAGAAGACCATTCACTACGAGAACTCACTGCAGTAGTTTTGGGAAAAAAATCCCATTTATTATAAACAGCTCTTGTACGCAGGTCTCTTTGGCAAGATGCTTTGCACCTTTTGATATTTGCTGAAACACACTAATGAATTGAATGGCATCTGTTCTTTTTGCAGTGAGCACAAAAAAAAAAATAACGGCACTTTGGAAAGAAAACCTCCACAAAATCTACATCATTATATTGGAAAGGAGAAAAAAACAATTAAAAGCAATAGAAGGAACCTGAATGCTGTGGCAGRATGGACAGATGATTTGAGTCATTAAAGACAAAGAATAAACAATTCCAGATCAATAGGCCAAATTCAAGCAACTTCATTAATGCCCTTGGAGCTCCATGATTCTTGGCATGGACATGTGCTGACATTTGAACCAGCAGTCTTCATAAAGGCCGAAATAAAATATACTGCACAGAAGGTACAATAATGTCAGCTGTTATAAATCTTAATTATACTGGGTCAGATTTTAAGATGTGTCACAAAGCTCTGCTTACGGATCATGCACATTGCTTTATCTGGATAAAGGGCATATATTGCATATATTTCAAGAAATGGAGCTCAAAAGGCATGCAGAAGTCTGGGACTCATTTTGAAATCAGTGTCATTTRGAAGGCACCACCTGAAGTGTCAGTCCTTGGGACGACCGTTTTAGTAAAAGCAGGATGCCACAGGACAAAACGTATTCCAAGACATGGCAGCTCAGAAACTCAAGTGAGGATCTGAAACTTAAGTGCTAGCAATCCCAAGCTTGAGACCTGAATACTCTAACTTAGAAGGCAAACACACCAAAAGAAGTCACTGTAGCCTCATTATCCAGCCCTGCTCTTTGGGGGAGGCAGAAATGCCCTCTGCAAGAATAGAACATTTCTGTGCAGTCAGCAAGCTCAAGTGACAGGCAGTGTGAAAGGACAGACTTAGGGTGGCTCTGGCCCACTAACTTCTTTGGTATTTGGATAATCAGAGAATTCCTAGGAAGGATGGCTGGAACTTATCCAAAACACATAACTCTCTTAAAATGCCTTTTTTTTCTGCCTCTTGCTTCACAAAGAGTGTGAATGGTAACATCACCTTGAAGTCATGGCTTCCCCTCATTTGTAAAATTTGCATTGCTTTTAATGCCTCTGTGGGTAGAAAGAAAACAAACAAACAAACAACAAACATGTACCTGCCAGTTGGTTTCCGTTTCTGCCATAAATGATAATCCTTTCTCCACYTCCGCTTTCATTTCGTTTATGTGAGCTATAGTATGAACAGACCAGGCATCTGTCTTATTCAAAGCCAAGGCCTAATGGAGAAAAGAAAGGGAAAACATGGTGAAGCTCCTGTTTAATACTGCTGATATAGAAACGTGAGACTATTTTCAGCTGTGTGTATTACGCATACCACCCTCCTGTTCCAGCTAACCATGGCCTGGAAGACTGATGGGAACAGAAAAGAGAGAAAAAGTTATTGCCCTGACTTCGCTTCCCGGCCYCAAATGCATAGAGATGGACAGCTGCAAAACAGTTTTCAAATGCAGGCTTTAATGATAATTATTAAATGCTATTTCGCTTCACAGACATGAAATCACTACCAGTCATGAAAGAACTGCATGCATAGGCAAAGACCTATCTTTCATCCCCCTGCTCAACAAAGGGCAAGCAAAAATTTAGTTTCAAACAAACTAACAAGCAAACAAACAAATGGTAGCAATGTTCCCTGCAGTTGTTCCTGGAAGAACATGGTCACTTCTGAGCACTGAACAACTTCCTTTTTCCTGCTTCAACAAGGTTGAGGCCTTAAATATCAGTCATTTTATCTTGCCAGACTACCATCATGAAAAGAGAACAGGCAGACGATTTTTGGCCCCAGACACATTCTGAAGTTACTTTTTCAATAATCAATAGGAAAGTAGTTAGAAAAGGGTGAAGGAAAAACAAAACAATAAAAAAAAATAAAAAAAAAAAACAACAAACAAAAAAACTCCAATCAGGATGGAGGGTCAAGAGCAGATTGCTTCAAACCAAGCTGACATCCATTAACAGGGATAAAAAGTCTACTGTACACACCAGAAACAGCATGTGGGATATAGAAAGGTCAATCTACAATATCACCAGTCAGGCACAGACTTCAAGCATCAAAAAAAAAARTCCACATGTAAGGAAAAGGCAAAGACACAGAACAGTTAGCTGTATTGCAGGAAGAGGACAAAGCYCATCACATATGAAATAAGAGTCATCAATCTCTTCTATTCTTAAAAATAAAGTTAATAAATAAATTTATTTTAATAAGTATATATTTTATTTTTACATTAATTTATATATGGCATATGTTAATATAATAATTTTAAAAGTTAATAAATCATAAAATCATAGAATCATAGAATGCATAAGGTTGGAAGGGACCTCAGAGGTCATCGAGTCCAACCCCCCTGCTCACGCAGG